TCTTTAGTTTTCTTGTAGACATAGTTATGATGACACCGATCAAGTCCACCACATTAAATTTTCTTGTGTTCTTGTTTAATATTTTTAGCATAATCATCTATATCATTGTCCTTGTATTTTTCGAGGTTACATATTAATACCCAACATGAACCTACTCAGAGATTCTAAACACTAAATCTCTTAAATACATATATGTGAACATGATAAATATCCCTTCAACGTATCTTCAAAATCTATCATTTCAGAAATAGTTTTTTATTCCTTCAACACATCTTCAAATCCATCGGTTCAGAAATCTTTGAAGCCATCGATTTTATAAATCAAAGATTAAACTTTGAGATATTTTTTGTTCTTAGACATGTTTACGAAGATGGAGATGATGAAACTACATAACTCTCCTGCCCAAATATGTGTAAGGTATCACCATATCAACAAATTTAAGGTGAAACTTGATAACAGATTTAGGCCGGAGGGAGTGGTGACAAGTTTGTCACAGTTCACATAGGCGCCACCTAGGATTTGCCACACTCTCTCTAATTTTTACCATATACATGACATGGGTTGCCACACTTGTCATGCCAATTTTTTAAAAATAATTAATATAAAAAATAAACATTTCAAACATACTATTTTTTTAAACTAAAATTTCATTTAACTAGAATAATAATTAGGATTTATAAGTGAATGGTTGATTTTGTAATTTCAGAAACTATTTATGTAGAGAGAATTTAAGATGAGGGTACTTTTTGTTAGTAGACCAAACCCTAGGGACCTTTTATGTTCAATCTGAAAAAACTTGTTGTGTTTTCCCTCATTTGAACACATAGACATGAAGTGTTTCTTCCATTTTTTTTAACATTCACCTTCATAAAGAAAAAACTAATCCCCTCTTTCTCTCTGTTTTCCCCAAACCATACACTTTCTCTTATCATCACAATTCTACCAAGTTGCCGAGCCGAGCTCGACATGCCGATGACTCGTCTCCGAATGACCTTATATGATTTAGAAAAAAAGTAGTTGCACATATATTAAAAAGGACGATCAATGAAATTTAGGCTCTATATGGAAATTGTGAATTTGTTTCAAAGGTAAAGACTAACGACAAATTATAATGAAAAAAACCTGAATTTCCACTAGAATTTTATTAGAAGTTAAAAATAAAATTTAATAATAACTTTTAAGTCTAACAAACATTAAATACATGAAGATAAATTTTTATGTTTAATTTCTTTTAATAAATATCTATGCTGATGTCATCGCCATTGGCGTAAAATAACTGATATCCGACCTATATTGCAATTTGAGTCTTTGGGTTCGGGTAGTTTGAGTTTTGGTTCTGGTCGAGTATTTTTGGGTATACCCGAAAATTACTTAAATATTACTGGTTGAATTTTTATTACATTTGGATGTAAGAAAAATGATTTCTACCGTTTCAAGTTTCAAGTGATTAATTTTGGTGTGAAAGTATTTTTTGATTTTTATGTTTTTCAAGTTTTAAGTGATTAATCTGGGTGTGAATGCAATTTTTTTTAATTAATCTGAGCATCATGAAGTCTTTTGGATTGGCACTTGTCATTTCTAATTTTCTATGGCTTTAGTTAGGTGTTGTTTGTTTTTTCGAAGTGAAAATGTCTGAAGTCTGCGGACCACCTCTGCAACCCACTGTAGCAGAAGAGGTGGAACAAACGGCTGCATCATTTAAAAAAAAGTCTGTTTGTTTTTTAACGTCTGCAGACTGCTGCAGTAAGTTAAAGTAAGACGTGAAGAGGTTTGAAGCAGCTGGTTTAGTGCTGCGCCACGCACCACACGCACAACAGTTTTTAAGTCAGAAGTCTTCTGAAAAACAAACATCTGCGAAGGGCTAAGTGTTGCGCGTGTGCTGCACGGTGCAGCAATAAGAGGCCAGAAGATGTTTTTTAGAAAAAACAAACAGCACCTTAGAGTGTATAACCACCGATTCAAAGTATGTGTACAAAAACAAAATCACTAAATAAACTATTGATGATGAAAAAAATAGACTAATTTTTTTTTAACACAACCCAACTAAGTCATAATCCAATTCAAAACGTATCCAAGTTTCAGACACATTTTAAAAACGTTTTAGGTTTCACAAAATATATTCATCCATCTTGCTTTTGGAACTGGATATAACAACAATTAAAAAAAAGCAACAATTAAAAGAGAAAACCACAACAATCATATATATATATATATATATATATATATATATATAATTCAGACACATTTTAAAAACGTTTTAGGTTTCACAAAATATATTCATCCATCTTGCTTTTGGAACCGGATATAACAACAATTAAAAAAAAGCAACAATTAGAAGAGAAAACCACAACAATCATATATATATATATATATATATATATATATATATATATATATATATATATATATATATATATATATAATATAACAACAAATAAAATAGAAAACAACAACAATTATGTATATATAACACCAATTAAAAGAAACAACAACAATTTGTCTAACCATGCAACAATTAAAACAGAAAACAACAACATATAAGAGCGAAATGGCCTTCAAGAATTCAACCACTCCAAAATAATATGAAAGAGCATTTATTGCAATTTTTTGAAGTGTATCGTTAATTTGGTTGTAGCACTGTACTAGCACATGGACTTCGATATATTTATTTTGAGGTTATGAAGTTACATTTATAGTGGAAAAGCAAACGGTAGTGTCATCAAGAACACCCATGTGACACAAAAACTTCATAATAAGAACTCTCATAAACACACACATGATAAACTAGAATCTAAATAAATCATAGTAGAAACACTAAAAGACAAGTAACCAAATTTCCAAACAGAAACACGCCCAGGGGCGGATCCTTTAAGGGGCCAGGGGAGGCCATGACCCCCCCCCCCCCCCCCCCCCCCCCGCCCGTTTTTTTGCCCAGTAACTTAATCTTGATGAGTTTGGTTCTTGATGATGTGTTTGAAATGGGGTGTGGATTATGCTAACCAAAAAAGAACCTACCGACGATTTCAAAATTGAGAAAAAAGGTAAGTTACTAAGGTATTAAAACATTTGATATCAAAATTTAACTGATATTCGAGAAATCAGGATTCAATAAAAATATCAAATAAATAAATAAATAAAGTCTTTTAAATTTTAATAGATAAACTTATAAAAGCCCAATAATCAACCTCAATTAAGACTTTTATAAACCCATAAAAAGTAGATGAAAGAAACCTAAAGAGTAAAATCTAAAAAAACCCTAACCGCGTCTCTCTTGTCTTTGGTTGCCGCTTAAAAATTGACGCCAGACAATGCCGGAAACTCGAGCTCTTCGTCGCCTCTATGTTTGACCGAAACCGTCTCTTGCTCATCTCGCTTCTAAGGTCTCCTCGTATGTTGATTTCTATCTTTTGCCTAAGGGCTCCTCGTATGTTGATTTAAAAGTATAACTTCTGAAACTGTGAACAAAAAGTCTTTGCTTGTTTTTCCTATTAAATGTGTGGTAAATAAGAGAAGCCTATCGCCTTTAAGTTTTTGTCAGCTTTTGCTTTTTGCCTATTCAATGTGTTGTCAAATAAAAGCTTTTCGTGATATAATATAATATTTTATGTTTAAATCACCATTTGATTTATATTCTAGAATTGTACAGATTTTCTTATTAATAAAAATAATCTAAAACAAAAGAATTCTTGTTATACCTTATTGATATGTTCTATAGCTGATAAAGAGACTAATATCTTTTATTATAATTGACGATAATAAATATATATGTTTGGATTTTTTTTAGACTTTTGGTTTCGCCCCCTACTTTTACTTGTCGTGTTCCGCCCCTGAACACGGCCCCCCTCCCCCCACAAAAAAAAAAAAATCAAAATCAAAATCATTAACAAGAAATTAACCAAAAAACAATCCACTTACTTTGAAACCAGAATACAAGCAGTAAAATCGCAATGCTTATTGGTGGTGGTGGTGACGAGGACTGGTGAGTGGTGATGAGATGTCGAGATCTTGTTGAGTTCGTGGCGGTAATGAGCGATGGTCTTTTGAATTTGTAAGGTTAGAATGAAGAAATAGAAGCGAAGGGTTTTCTTTTTCAGGCGACATGATCATCAGGTAAAGAAAATAGAAAAACGAGTAAGAACTAAGAACGAGATGCATGGATAAGCGGATATTACCTAATAAACCATTTTTTTAAAACAAATCGGATATTTGAGTATACCTGAAACCCCAAACACATACCTTATGCCCGACCTGATAAAAATCCAGTTATCCAAATACCGAAAATGATTATTGGATACCTGGTTAACCCGACCTAATATACCCGAATTTGAAAGGGTTGCACGACTAGTTCGGGTTTCGATTATTTTCGACAGACATAACATCATACATGCAAAGAATGATATGACTATATATTAGCTTGGTACTTGTAAAACCGGATAAAATAATTTAATTAAGAGTAACAAATATAATAGTTTGCCAACAAATTTAGTAGTTTGCTATACACATACACAAAAAAATAATAATTAAACACCAAAGAAGTTCAAAACACATAATTAGTTAAAGTTTTAATGACACTAACCCTAAATAAAATATGATTATTTAGTAATGAGAAATTAAATATCCTCCTACCTATTGTTCCTACCAATCCTCCTACCCATTTAAATGATGACATGTGTCATGTTAGTATCCTAAAATATCATTAAATTTTTTTAAATAAACATTAAATGTTACACATGTCACCCATCTAATTGGGTAGGATGGTATTTAGGAATAAAAAGTAGGAGGATATTTAATTTCTCTTTAGTAATATTCGGACTCTGTTTTGTTATCATTTTAACAAATATCTCCAAAAATGTAGTATATCCTAAAGATTTACTTATCAAATGGAAAATATAAATTAATAGATAAAAACCCCTGCACTATAAATACGAGCTACATATACGGCCAACCCCTGAAGATCTTCCAACACTTCTTCTAGGATCTTCTTCTCTCCCTCAAAAACCATGACTCGCATAACGGATTCCAACCATAAATCGTCGTCGACGACCATCAAGTTTCTCTATAGCTACGGCGGCAAGATTCAGCCACGTAAGATAGACGGCAAGCTTCGTTACGTCGGCGGCCATACCAGAGTTCTCGCCGTCGACCGTTTTGTCACGTACACAGAGCTGATTGTTAAGTTCTGGGAGGCGTGTGGATTTTCCGTCAAGTTGAAGTGTAAGCTGCCGACCGAAGATCTCGACGTGTTGGTGTCTATTACTGGCGATGAGGATCTCGCAGCTGTATTAGAGGAGTACGATCGAGTTTCTCCAGATGTGAAGATCAGAGCTGTTCTTTTCCCCATCGATTCGTTGAAGACAATTTCTCCTGTTTCATCTGCTGCTTCGCTTGTCGATTTTCCTGTCGCAAAACCGCTGCGGGATCCAGTTGTGGTCAATTATAACGCAATTACGCAACAACGTCCGTTCTCAGCCTTCAAGTTCCATGGTTTTCCAGTTGCTAACCCTCCGTTTGTCGGTAGATAACGTGATCAACAAATCCCTAGTGTAAAACATGGTTTAGATACTAGACAAACAAGAAGGATTACTGGACTCAAGTAGATGCTATTATAAGATTGAAATCCATATACTGTATTATTTTGTGAGATTAATCGTTGTTTTATTCATTAATTTTGATACCATCTATGCCCGGCGTTTAATTGAAGCTGCTAGGGTTCCAAACAGCCCGTTAACCTTGTTTTCTATTCTTACTACACTACGAATTTCTATTCTCTTCACGGAAAGTTCTACCAGTGTTAATGGCGATATGCGGCTTCTTTAATTTCCAAGGTAATAAGTTCAGTCTTTTTCAACTAATCTGAGTAAATTTTCTATTCCTTTTCGATCTATATATCTTCATCGATTGATTTTATTGCTCCAGGATGTAATCATGGCGTCATTCTCTTGGAACAAGTTGATTATAAGTCCCACAAGTTTGATGGAAATTTGTTATCAACGTTGTATTTATTGGTATATATATATTTTTTATAAATGGTTTTGCACTAGTATGGATGGAGAAAATTCAATGATAAGAATAAACACGATCATAATCCTTTTGAATTTATGGTCATGATTCCCAAAAGCACAAGGAAAGTAATAGACAGCAGGGAGCAACACAACGTGACGAAAGAGATAACTTTGGACTGTTATTTGATGATATAGATCCGTGGGACAGTTGATTAAGAATCGTGATTTGACGAATAAGGTAACTATCTCATAAATGATAAAACTATGTGAAGTTAAATATCCTCTTACCAAATCTTCTTATTGTTCTTCCTACTTACTGAATCATGACACGTGTCAATAGGATAATACAAGGAAAAAGAATTAATGGATTACATTTGACAATCAATGAATTGATATGAAGATAAAATACAAGAATAAATTAGGAATCAATTTAATTTTCCTAAAACTATACATCGAGGGTAGCGATTGTAAAACTATACATCGATGATGATCGTTTTATGTTTTGTAAGATCATAATCATAACATCCTTAAGCTAATCCGGCTTGCCGGATTGGGTCGATGTATTGTGCCGAACTAATAAGCGGTCCAATTCAACTTTGTGAAGTTGCAAGGTCCAATTCTACCTTGTGAAGTTGCAAAGTTCAATTCTCAATCTTTGTCAAATTTCTAAGTTTCAGTTCTCAACATTATCAAGTTGTAAGGTTCAATTTAACTTTGTCAATGTTGGATTCTCAACATTGTTAAGTTACAAGGTCTAACTTGAAAGGTTTTGCAAGGTCTAATATAACCTTGTTAATTTGCAAGGTTCATCTAGCACATAAATATATAAGTATACTATATATATCTAGCATAAATATTATTGACGTATCCCTATGGATACGTCGCGAAGCGACAAGGACAACGATACCCAACCATATCACTTAGGAGCTATATTTCATGGCCAGGAGGTTCTCTCAACTTACTGTCTAGGCTGGCTCGTCATAGAGACGGAAAACGCACCTAACATCCATACAAATAGCCAAACAACAAACCGGTTTAGGGCCGATGGGTTACTTAGTTGACATGCAGACCAAATAATTAGATCACGGGAGAAGACGCCAGCACGAGGGAATGTTTGTGTCACTAATGAAGATCCCCTCTGCACCAATCAACTCCCTTGGCGATCAGTCAGAGGACAATTGGCCGAATCCGAGCCTCTCTGTCCTGAAAAATCTGTTCGGGTGGTCCTCACAATTAGTTACCCTAAAAACCCTAGCTATATAAAGACACATATAACTCAGGTACGAGGATCGCCTCTCAAACATTCTCTCCTATACTCATCTTCTCTGATCACTTACTGACTAGACCGTCGTAGCCCCCTCCCGGGAAGCGACAGACATTGCGTGTGACTAAAGTTTTTGGTTCCGACATTCAAGCTCGAGGTTGGCACTTTGGGATTGCCATTACATCATTGGCACCGTCTGTTGTGAGTAACGAAGAACAAAATCCACACAACACACTTTTCTGAACGATAGCAATGGTAGAAACCAATGAAGGAAGTGGAGTCATTCAAAGCTTAATCCACCCTATGCAACCACTAGAACAAGTACCGACTCCGGTCCTGACACCAACATTAGATCAACCAAACATTCCGACAACATCCATAAATTCGTTAAGCAGAATCTGGATGCCCTGGTTAACACATGTCCTGGCGCCACCACGCTTTCCTCCGGCGAACGGGCTGCAAACACCTTTGGCAAGTCAAAACCTGAATGCCATCGTCGTCCCTCAGAGCGCACTGGTCACGGGAGGAACGCCGATCAATTTCTAATACAACCTCCAAAAATCGCCGTTAACAACACCAATGCCGCCACTATTTACTCCATAAAACTCACTAATAACACTTATGGAAAACATGCCTCTAACAACAAAGACATCAATTCTAACGAAGATGCCACATCTTTATCATACTCCAAATATAAACCCATACATACGATTGTAGAGCCTTTCATACACATACACCACACCGCTTACGTCACTCCAAGAACCCTTCCTCCCTCAAAACATGGTAGGAAGAAGTGTAAGCTCCCCTTTCACACTGGATCTGTTGAATTACGAAAAACCAAACACCTCTAAATTAACGACGTTGAAAATGTAAGACGGAACGACAGATCCATACAACCACATCCATACATATGAATGGATAATGACATCGCTCAAGTTAGACGAGAAATTCTGGTGCATTTACTTCACCACGACACTTGATGGAAACGTGGGGACGTGCTTCAAAACATTGGCACCAGGAAGCATCAACAACTTCTCACAATTGAAGTATGCTGTCCTTACAAACTTCATGCAATTACGACACTACAAAAGGGGCAATCGTACTATCATTAGATGTAAACAAACGGAAGGGCAGTCGGTTAATGAATATTTTCAGGGATTCACCAAAGCAAACCTTGAAGACAAAAGTATGGTTGTTGGAGCATTTATGTGGGGATTGTTGCCAGGAGAATTATCTAAGAAGTTTTTGGAAAGACCACCTTAAACGTGTCATGAGCTTAAAGAGAGAGTTGAAAGATACCTAAGCATATCTCAAAGCAATATCCAGCTCCCAATCATGTTACCTTGATCACCCAGTAACTATGGTCATGGTATCCATCAACGACAAACGTTCCAAGTAGCCAGGTTGTTGAGACGATACCAAACATATCGCAAAGATGATATAAGAACACGGAGAACATAAGTATATGAGGTTTACGACATGCAACAAGACAAACATTCTGGAGGAAGATCAATGTATTGTGAGTATCATCGAAGCACAATGCATGACACATTTGAGTGTACTATGCTTCGACGAGAGATAGATGAGAAACAATTAAAAGGAAACATCACGAAAATAGCACGAAACCTGCACAACAAGCTAGATGAAAACAAGACACCACAAAGACAAAATCAAGATAACTAGGCAGCAAAAGAGAAAACTCAGGAGATACTGGCCATCCAGTCAAGGCAATACAACAGAAAACGAGCCAACAATAGTGAAGACCTGATCAAGAATATGATGAAGCTTAGCTTCTCGGTTAATGGCCTAGTACGAAACAACTGGAGTAGGGATGACCCGCTTATCATTTAGGGATACATATGCGATACAAAAATTCATAGAGTCTACATTGATATAGGAAGCTCAACCAACATTATCTACGAGTATTGCTTTAGATAGTTGTCGAGGGCATGAAAGAACTCCACCCGTCAGCAGGAAGACTAACATGATTCACGGGTCACAACATATGGCCATTAGGAACAATGAAATTACGTTTTTCAATTTTCACTACAAAGTCATGACGGGAAGTGGAAAAAGACAGTATTATTTGAATTCGTGGTAATCCGACACCCAATAGAACACAATGTTATCCTGGGCAGGACAACATTACTTAAATTCAGAACTATAACGTCGAAATTGCATGGACTAGTTAAATTCAACACAACAGACGACCCAACAACAATGGCCGCCACAACACTGTCACACCCCCAGCCATCGACGGAAACACCGGGTGATGTAACGTCATTCTTTGTATCACAGTTATATAACATACATTGAACAGTACTAAAGAAAATACATACCTTTATTGATAACTGAAAGTTACATAACTGTTTTTCTAGGACCTATTACATAATATCCGACTATGACATACTTCTTAATGAACAGAAAGGTAATAGTAAAACTTCTTCTATTCGAATACATACCAGCTTTTCAAGTTCCTGAAAACACATGCATTTTAAAATACGTCAACATAAAGTTGGTGAGTCCACAGGTTTTGACTCCATAAAATAATACATTTTCCACGTTCAAAAGTATAGTTTTGAAAGTATCATTTTGACTCTCCAACATTTAGTATGTATATTAGGTATAATAGTTTACTTATCAATTAAGTGTTATACCTAAATATTCCTTAACCTAAGGTATAAGTAGGGGGAAACTTATACTTAACATTAATACTTGTATATGACAAAGTATAATGTTTCTAACAATTTGCTACCATGAGCCTGTAACCGCGGCTGTGACATAATACCACTGATAAAATACACTCATGATTTACCATGAGAAACAAACACACTCATGATTTACCATGAGAACAACACCGTACGCTTCATCGACGCCGAAACAATAACAAGTAAAAGGATAGTTCATCACTCGCTTTTGGTTGACTGTAGCTAACAGTCACAAGTGGGGTGGTCAACCCGTATACTAATTATACACGACTTCCTCGCTCACACGGGATTAACGGTTACAGTTCAGAGGATTTCCGCTAAGATCCCCAATCTTAGTTGATGAATACAATTACTCATGTAGACTTCGACGGCTTCCTATAGCTCTAACAACAAAAGCATTTTCATGTCTAAAACCCTAAGTCACTAGACTATGCTTTTAAACATTACTCCTAACTTCATAACATTTAGGCAATATAACAGCTATATCTTGAAGTAAAACCAGGTTTTATCTTGACCTAAAACCAATAATAACAACATATAACGTTCCT